TAAGTTTTGGCGAAGAAATATTCATCTATCTTAAATAGAATTCGAGATATTAAACTTTGCCATTGAATGAGATATAAGGGTCGTCTGTTGTTAGAGGCAAAATTGTAGAGAAATGGCCGCCAAAGTTTGGTGATTTCCAAAGCTTGAGAGGCTTTGGATACTGCAAATTTACTTTTTTGTGTGTCTGTGATCAACATTAAAAAAAATAAAATCCAAACAGAAATATCTTTATAAATAATCTGACAGGCACAAATAACGCGAAAGAGCAACACCATGTGTAGAAAACAAAACTGAGTACATGTATTTTCGTGATTTGTTTTCATTTTGTCTCTATTCACAATGTGTTCTTGCTATCGGATTGGCTCGATTAAAAAAACAACACAACACGCTCATTGGCCGCTCATGTATCAAACAATACAACAAAGCAGCCCTCTCAATGGTACGTGGTTAAAACGTGAATTGAATCGTCAATTTTTGCTCACATATTCAGTTGATCGGGACTATAAATTTTCAGCCCTAAAATGTTTGATTGAATATTGCATAGTCCGATTATCTGCGGAAAAATCGAGAAAGAGCTATTGGACGTCTGCAAGCCGGCGAGAGCCCTCAGCAGGAGGCAACAGTCCTGGGGGTGCATGCCAGCACTATCTACTGCCAGCAAAACAGATTCCAGGCAACCAACTCCACGAGAAATCTCCAAAGAAGCGGAAGACCTCGACTGACAAGAGCTGCCCAAGACCGCTTCGTCGTGCGTCAGCATCGCCGAGATCCACGGTTGTCTGCCTCCGAGACAGCCCAGAACATCATAGGCACACACGGTAGAGCCGTAAATGACCACACCATACGCCGCTGACTTGTGGCCAGGGGGCTGCGTTGTCGGCGTCCGGAGCAGAGAGCACCCCTGAACATCCATCATCGACGAGCTCGTCTCCATTGGGCTCAGAACCACGTTAACTGGCGTCATCGACAGTGGCAGCGTGTGATCTTTGATCCTAACAAAAGACGGGTCCGAATGTGGCGCCGCCCAGGATAACACTACTTTGACAAGAACATTTTGGGAGAGAGACCTGTGGGAGGTCAAAGTGTGGTCATATGGGACGCAATCGGAATCAATCAAAGACTGGGCCCCATAATCTTACAAAATTTAGGAACTGGACGGGACAACGGGGTGACGGCACAGTGCTACATCAGCCAAGTCCTGCAGCCCCATGTTGCTCCATTTTCCACTTCAAAACCACCTCTTTCAGCAGAATAACGCCCGGCCTCATACAGGACGTGGTACCCGGCAGTTCCTGGTGCAGAACAACATACCCACCATGCCTCACCCACCCCGATCACCAGGTGTGAACCCAATAGAACACTTTTGGGACATCCTTTAGAGGCGTCTCAACCAACTCCAGCCCAGACCCCAGACAGCTGCACCACTGGGCGCTGCTGTTTTTCAGGTGTGGGTGCAGGTCCTCAACTGCCAAATCAATCGCTTGGTCCACACTATGCACCGCCGATGCACTGCTGTCACCAACGCTAATGGCGGTCATACCAGATACTGACTGGAACTTAAGACCCAAGGTCAAGGTCATTAATGCCGAAAAACAAAATAAGTCCCCAAGCAAATCCCCAACTCTCAATCATTGTTTTGTGTAATTTGAGACACCTCAAACCTGTTTCTCTAAATAAAAATATTGCTTCAATTTACTCTCCTCTTCTAGTGGGCTCCCTAACTGCACCCCCACTGCAAATTTTAGTAGGAACATGCCACTTGACACACACGTACTTTGAACAAAACTAAGAATTTTGATAAACGGACACAAGCTTTATCTGCATAATTTCACTCTGATTTGCATAAATTAAAAATGAACGCAATTGAAGAATCAAGCAAAATGAAAATAACTCTAAATTATCATACACATCTTCGATTTTCATGAAAATGGTGTCAAAATATATGTTTTTGGGGATGTCTTAACCATTGAAATCAATATTTTGGATGTAGAAGGTCCGGTTTTTATTTATTTAATATGTTAGTCACATGATGTTATTGTGAAGTATATATATTTTGCATATTTCAAATTGACAAGCTTGGACGACTTTGAAATCGAATTCGGTTCGCCTTCGTGCGACGTTGAAGCACCTTGCTGCTACTGCTCTTGTGTAATGTGAATTCGTATTACTTTGGCTTGTAAGTATTGATATGAAAGGTGTTGAGCCAAATGCCGGTTTCGTTGATTTCATTAGGTTGACGAGCACCAGATTTCACCATGATGCCTCACAAATAGTAACATCGATACGTTCTGTGTCTCCCTCCTCAGTTTATGAAGTTGCCGATACGATGGAAATCATGATCCAGTGGTAACAACTGAAGTGACACTCATTCGGTCTACGCTGAAGAACTCAAGATTACTTTGTCAACTCTATCAAGTTCGCCTGAACATTAACATTGTTCCGCACTTCAGATTTATCTGCGTCGCAGACTTCATTAACAATTTTGAATTAAAAAGAAATATGCCTGCTTCTCTTTCATCTTTTAAGCTTCTCTTTCATCTTATAAGCTTTTCTTTATTCATCTGTAAAGATTCTGATTAAGCTATTCATTTGTCATAAAATGCGCCTTTGGCTTAACGGTATTCAGGTTCCCGGTACTCGTCTTCTTGTAGCCTTTGCACCGTGAATTCAGATTTTCTATAACTTTACCGGTTGTCTTTACCGTTAAACGATGGAGCGAAATAAAAAAGCTGCCATGGCTAGTGTGTCGTTGTTGTAGCCATTATTGTTAATGCTGTTGTTATAGCCTTTATTGTTGTTGCTGTTGTTGCTGTTGTTGCTGTTTGTTGTAGCTAATGTTGCTGCTGTTGTTGTTGTAGGCGTTGTTGTTCTTGTTCCTGTTGTTATTGTTGTTGTACACGTTGTGATTGTTGTTGTTGTTGTAGCTCTTGTTGTTGTTGTTTTTTTTCTTCTTCTTCTTCTTCTTCTTCTTCTTCTTCGTCTTCTTCTTCTTCTTCTTCTTCTTCTTCTTCTTCTTCTTCTTCTTCTTCTTCTTTTTCTTCTTCTTCTTCTTCTTCTTCTTCTTCTTTTTCTTCTTCTTCTTAGTATTTTTATTTCTGCTGATGCTGACGTTTGACTCTCTACATGGCTCATCTTAATCTACGTGTGTCTGTTTGAAAGCAGAGCAGCGATGGTACTCCATTAAAACAGATGGTGATTGAAATTATTTTCCTGGATGAGCGACTAAACAAAATTAGCATCAAACCAAGATTGGAATTTCGAACAACGGCAGGCTCGTAACCTACCGCGTTGCAGCTGTACTGATGCCTTCGACAACGTTTGCTCTTGGCAAGTCCAGTTTAAGAGGAGATGTCACAATGCACAGCACACTTACTATTATATACCACAGGTTCTGTTCCGACCTTTCCTGGCCCGGTCAAGTTTCTGAACCCCTCCCCCCCCACCCCCACCCCTCCCCCTTCTTCTCCCTCGAGCATGAAAATGGAAACAACAAAAGAAACGAACAAAAGAAACAAACAAAAGGTCAACCGAACCAGAAACCAAGTACAAAATAAAAACAGACCCAAACAACATTACCAACAATAATAATAATAATAATAATAATAATAATAATAATAATAATAATAATAATAAAAATAACATCATCAACAACAACAACAACAACAACAACAACAAGCCCATGCTCCATATGCGTTTCTGAAACAAGCCTGGTGAGAAACAGAAACCAGACAAAAATAAATGCAGTTCTTGATAACTGAACTTCCCAACTCACAGATCAAACTCTTGTCTTCTGCGTGTAAGGCGAAGGGAGTCACCCTTTCACTACATCGTTGCAAGAAACTTAAAGTTGGATAGGCATAACAAACGAGCTAGTCCCAACATTAATTCGTTACTTCCCTTAACATGATACAATGTATAAGAAATTCGATACTGTGATTATATTTCTGGCAATTGATCAGTGAGTCAATTTGAATAGCCTTGAACATAAATACGAAAAGAAAAGGGAGGCAAGGTAGTTTCTAGTAAGATTTACTCAGAATAAAGATTTGTTTCCCAGACTTTATCAACCATAAAGTCTTGTCAGCTGTAAGGATCAAGCACGAAGGGTTTTATTACAAATACTATTATATTATTTTTGACGTCTGTGTAGGTTTTCTTTCAACATACAAAAAGCCCACATCTAGTACAATAATTGTTTTATTCTAAACAAAAAAGACATGGTTTTATAATCAGTGTCTGAGATGGCTTTCACGCCATAAAGTTATTTAAAGAGACAACATTACGGAGCGAAGTTGGTGGAGAATCTTTAAAAGGCCCTTTAAAAATCCGCGTATTAAAGACGCCGGTGGATTTTCGAAGCAATTGTTTGCGCACTGTCATTTAATACTACACCAGCTGAGCTATTGTATGCAGTTTTATTTGGGAATGAGAGTTGATGGTCAGTTCTGACACGGTTGCAATAATAGATGTTTATGCGCTCGATGTCTCGGATGGTTGAATTGTTTGCATGCTTGATTTACCACAAGCTGCTTATTGGCCGTCCCCTAGGAATGTGGGCGGGGAGGAGTATCTTAATCCCCTCCTTAATCTCTCTCCCTTTTTCTCTCTCTCTCTCTCTTTCTTTCTCTTTCTCCCTCCGTGTCTGTCTGTCTGTCTGTCTGTCTGTCTGTCTGTCTGTCTGTCTGTCTGTCTGTCTGTCTGTCTGTATGTCTCTCTCTCCCTCTCTCTCCCTCTCTCTCCCCCCCCTCTCTCTCTCTCTCTCTCTCTCCTCCCCCTTCTCTCTCTCTCTGTCTGCCCCCCTCTCTCTCTCTCTCTCTCTCACCCATACTACATTCATGCTCGCATGAGCACATGCATACACATACATGTAAGGATAGAGATACGAGAAAGAGAGAGGGAGAGAGAGCGAGAGAGAGAGAGAGAGAGAGAGAGAGAGAGAGAGAGAGAGAGAGAGATAAAGGGGGGCAGGTGGAAGGGAAGGAGGTTGAGCAACAATTGGATTCTCAAAGCTGTTTACACCTTTCTTTATTTTTCTTTGATTGATCTTCCTGTTTGCTGTTTGGACAAAATACAGTAACACGAATTTCTTTAGAACAGAACTCAGGTAACACAGAGTCTAAGCCGCAAGTTTTTCGAATGGTGTTTATGTTGTTGATAGCGGCACTAAACAATTTCAATCACTTCTTTTTTTGGAAGTCAATAAAAACCCATTCCAATAACCATAACATTGAAGTCTATTTCTATATCGTCAACTTAATTACTGATTTTGGTATGAAAGGTTTTGAAAGTGGGGCTGGCCAGGACGGACACTGGAAAAACAAAACCACGTTGAAAACATCCTTAGGGACTGTAGCAAATTTCAAAGTTAATTGACTGTTCAGCCAAACTGGGAAATACGATATCATTATCGCATCATACGCGGTAACATTATGCGGAGAGTGCTTTTAAAACTTTTCGGATGGATACTTTAGGTTTCCTGAAAATCTGAAATTATTTTTAAATTGCAAACAAAAAATGTAGATATGATCACTTATGCCTAGTAAAAGGGTGAAACATGTCTTTAAGAAATGAACTTTCAATAACCTTCCATATTTTTCTGAACCAACTGGAATAATACAACTAATACAAATCTAAAATACTTTCAATAATATTGATTCCAAGGTACGCTTGGCATAATGCTATAATACATTAGGATCATTTGTTCAAGAATTTTGCCACAGCAAAGAAATTAAGCCATCGCGAAAACAAAAATAATACACGTTATATCTTTTTAAAAACTTTTTTTATATTTAAAGAAGCTGATAAGCCTGTGCAATTCAAGACTATGTCCATAGCTGTTGTCAGGGTGTATAGTGGTCAGTAGAATATGAAAGTTTTGTCACACATACAAGAAAGCAAGAAAGACTGTTCACCTTAACTCCTTTTCTATTTTCTGGTGCGGGGGTGATAGTGCTTTGTTTGTGGAGCCCGCGGGGGGGGGGGGAGGGCTGTTTTCCAAAGATAGCAGGGGATATTGCCTCAAAAAAGGGTTTCTCTGAGAATGTGCGTTTCATTTTTATCTATTGTACGAGCTATTGTCAAGCAGTGCCATCAGAGCGTCGACGTCAAGAACTTCATCAGAGGGAGAGGAACTCGGCGATGTCCTGGTGTTGTTCACTTGGTTCTGGGATGACGTCACCGGGTTGTTTGTCATGGAGTTCCCGCTCATCCCCGCCTGTGCCGGACGCGCGAAGGACGGGTTGTAGGACGCGGCGGTCCCTCTGGTCGGCTGGATCAAATTTCCGAGGTCAAAGGGCACTGCATTCTGAGTTGGCGTCTGTTGATTGTTGGGTGCTCGCGCGCGGGGCGAAACCTGGTCTCCCAGATTCAGCTCAGTTGTTGTGTGCAGTGAGAACGGTAATTTTTGCTGCTGCTGTTGCTGTTGATGTTGCTGCTGATGTTGCTGCTGCTGCTGCTGCTGCTGCTGCAGCTGCGAGGGCGTTTGAGTGGAATTTTGATAGGAGGTTGAAGTAGGAGGGTTTTGCCATTGAGAGACCCCCGGATAGACAGGCGTGTTCGTTGTGTTGTTGGGGTAAGGACTCTGGCCTGTACCCATGTGTCCGTTCGCCAGAGCTTGAGTTCCCCCATATGAGGCGGTTCCGGTGTGCCCATTAGCCATGGTGTGGTTATCCGTCATCGGATTACCGTTAGCCGTTGCATAGCCGTTTGTCATTATGTTCCCGTTAGCATTTAAGTAGCCGTTACCCAATCCCTGTCTATTAGCCATTACATTTCCGTTAGGAGTTACATGACTATTAGACATCGGGAGACCATTCCCCATGTTTTGAGTCATCCTTACGCTTCCATTTGCAAACCCATTGTAATTTCCTATGGCATGTCCACCATCCATACCAAATGACCTCCCATTGGACACGCAGTGAGAACTGGTCGGGTCCGACTCGGTAAGATCAGTTACTCGCATGTTGGACTTGAGTGCGGGCAAAGGAGCTGTGTCCAGGGAGGATTCGTTCAGTGAGGGAATTTTCTTTTGACCTGGAGAGAAATGACTGGATTTACTAAGCAATAATAGTATCTATCTATCTATCTATCTATCTATCTATCTATCTATCTATCTATCTATCTATCTATCTATCTATCTATCTATCTATCTATCCATCTATCT